ATAGTATTGTTACATACATCTGTTATTCAAGAGATAACTATAATTTCCACCAGTTAATTATCATAACGTACTCTGTTAAACAATATATATTTTATATTATTTTACGTTAAATTATCTAGTGTTACGAATCTATTAATGGATTCATGTGAAAGTTCCTTCAAATAATGTTGATGTGTCTGATTGATTAATGAGTAGTGACCAATGTCATGTTTATCTGTTTCTCTAAATGCCGCTGATCGAACTCTATCGATTACGTAAAAATGTGGTCATTGGTTTAAATGAATCAACTTTCCATGCATTGTTTTGAAATGTCAAGTAGTTGAAGATCATAAACAGAAAATTCTACTTGACCTCGATTTTATGCAAGTTGAGACTCAGTAGCAAAGCGTACCTGTAATCTAATGGGAAATGATCATTATCAGATGGGGTTTTGCGGATATTATAATAATTTCATTGGTTGCAATTATGAGTTATTTGAAGGTAGACCATTATGGAAAACCTGGGAGCACTGGATGGACGTTTCGTTCTCGCGCATCCACGATCTCGCACCCCTCCCCGCGAGATTCAAACCAAGGACCTATCAATATCGTACGCGAGCGCTTAACCACTAGACCACTGAGCTGGCATCTAGTGCTTCTAAGTTTTCCATAGTGGTCTAGCTTCGAATGACTAATGATCTCAACCATGGAAATGATTATCCCTAATAAATTAAAACTTATATCATTCAGCTTCATAATCTAAGAACTAACCAATGAACTATTCAATAATATAAAATCTAAGTTCATAATTTTTTATAGGCTACCTTTAACTATTTCACAACTCAAATGTTACATTACTACATATAAAAATAAAAATAAAATCACTCCATTATAATTCGAATTAACTATTATACAGAGTATTTGTTTTTAATTACCGGTTTTTGTAATGGTTTCAACAAAAAATGAAAACAAAAAATACCCATTGTCCTTTACCTAAATAATGATGAATGAACTAAACTACCTATTTCATTAAAGTACAATAGCTATTCATTTGATAATAAATTGTTGATGGAAAGTTTCTTTTTTGTTTTTGTTTGTTTTTTGTTTCCTTTTTAAATAGAGTCATTAAGTTGTGAAAATGCAAAAAAATAATAATAATAATCCGATTTTAATTACTAAACCTAAATTGACTGTAAAATTAAACTATTCTTCGAATATCAGAAGGGGTTTTTGTGGAGATTTTTGAAAAGTTCACTGGTTGAAATCATGCGCACTGCTGAAGAGTTCCATACTAGGACGAAACGGCCGTCCAGTGCTTCCAGGTTCTCCATGATGGTCTAGCTTCAATTGACTCATGATTTCAATCAGTGAAATTTTCTTAGAATAAACTGATATATAATTCATGATTCATTTTAATGAGATCAACTGAAAACTATTAAAAAGTCTATTAATCTTTTTTAAAGGATTTATTTGTTAATCATCATACTACTGACTCTATTGAGGTGTGACTACAATCATCATTTGAAATTGTGCTAACTGTTGGTTGCTAAATGTAACTCGATAGACTTTCGTAGATGAAGATAAAGCCTTAAAAATATTGGGCTATACTACAATGTATACTATTCACACACACCCACACATACGCACAAAGAAAAAAACCCATTTTTATCAGTTTTCAGTCATTTATGCTTTAGTTTCTGTATTCATACTCTTAGATTTTCAAGATCATTACTAATCTAGTTTTTTATTGAAGTACTTCAAAAAGAAGTATTCTTCTATGGTATGAACAACTGGGAAATGATAATAGTCGACAAACTTAGAATGTCACTCAATGTTATATATTTATTTGTTCATATGTTAGTGTATCTTCTACTTCATTTAAATATCACCATAAATCTTACATTTGATCTTAAACCACATTATCACTAATTACATTGAGTAATATAAAAGTATCACTTATCAATAATGAAATTTAATCATAAAGTATGTCAAAAAAGAAAATGAACAGTGAAAAAATGTGTATGAGGCCTACCTAAAAGATTAAAAAAAAACCCAGAATATTTTTGGTTCCCAAAGCTTTTCATATATAGTTCAGGCATAGAGTAGTAATGTAACATTAAATCATTCTATCATGTCAATATCATTCAGTGTATTCATTAGATATGAATTAGATGAAAAGAACTAATTTCATACAGGTTTCAATTTAATTTGAACAATATAGAGCGAATATTTTGTCTTGTTATAATACTGATTTATCCATGAAGTTTTGAGTAATATTCTCTGATTTCCCTTATAAATATTTTGTTTCATTAATTAGCCATGATACGAGTGTACTGACAATCAGATTGTAATTAGTATATTAGTTTCCATATCTAGTAGAAAGGTTGAAAACTAAGTTAATAAGAGTGATCACATTGTAGAACACGGGTGGGGATAATCGTATTGTATTTAGCACAAAATTACAGAGGTACATGGTAAAATAGAAAAACCATACTATAATGCCTAATTTGCAAAATGTTCAATAATTGTCTCGAACTTCATTGTTCTTACATTTCCATACTAATTGTTTTCTATTCCCACTCTTTCTTTTCTGATCTTCCCCATTTTCTGCTACCAGACATTACATTCTTGATTCGAGTAATATACTACTTATATCAATATAAGGTAGCACACACCACAATATGAGTTTAGAAAAGTAATGAAATGACGAGTATACCAATTATAAACTCTTTTTTATGTCAATAGGTAAATCTAGAAAGATTATATGTAACTATGAAGCTTCAACAAATCATTTTTTCAAACACTTCTCCATTAAAGTTTCGTTAATCTATCTTGGTTAGAGCTACAAACATACACAGTCAATGTATGCTTATTCAGTGTATTAACACTTCTATAAAATTGCAGAAAATCATCTCTGATCAATTATTATCTGTAATTTTCATTACATGTATAGTAAAGTATTGAAAGATGTTGATCTATAAATGTTTTTAGATAAAGAACAGAATATGTTGTCACTTTGTCAGTTATCAAATGTCAAAATAACATTCTGAGTTAATTCAGATATTTCATAAGAGTTGATATTGTTTCTCAAATAAGTAAGATTACCAACCTGCTTATCAACAATCAAGTGTCCCAGTGACAACACTAGACCCTAACAAAGTGGGTTTTTTTATGTTAAAGAAAAAAACATGAAAAACCTAGTTAGATGTTTTTTAAGTAGGGTTGGGAAGATATGCTCAAACGACACCGTAAACAAGAAACTAGAGCTCATTCATATCTTGATTGAAGTGGGTTATTTACAAGGTTTTCTAAAGAAACACGTGTTTATAATGAACAGGAAAATAGTGGCATCAACGGTTAGTAAGAAAGATTTGTTCCTAATGTTTCAATTTACTGGAGATGTAGCTATAGAGGTAATACGAGATTGAATGAATTTAACTATGAAGAGAGCTTAATTAATCAGTTGAAACTATAAATAATCATATGCAAAGAACAGTATGATATTTTCGCTCTACAAAGGTTGAATTTCAATAAACAGTATTTCTGATATATTATCTTTTAAATATACCGGTTTGTATGTACAAGATTGTTGACATAATCTCAAACGTTTGTGAATTTGATTCGGTTATTTATTTACTCTGAAGAAGTGGCTTATATTAAGTTACAAAACACCAGAAGTACAATTTTTCCGCTTATTGGGATATAACAAAAAATATAATTATTATCAATGAAGAGAAAGTTTAATGCAGCTAGACACTGTCTACTGATTCCTAGCCGACCTCAAAGGATCAGTTACCTCGTTTTCCCACTTCCATATATCTGAGAATTCACTTGTCCCTGTGGAAAAATCTATATTGAGCATATACCCAGAAAACTGTGCCAAAGAGTTAGTGAACACCTCTCTCCGTAGTTAGGGAGGGTTATAATCAAAACAATACCCCGCTCTATTCTATCACACTTGATCGATAGCGGCAATGTATTAGATAGAAATAAATCATTTAGTGTAATTTATCGTAAACCTACAAGCTTTCTTTCTGAGGTTCAACCTCTTCTATAGCTAACAACTAGAGTTAACAACCCGTCTTTGTGTTCATAAGTAATTTGTAACACCCTTATCTTCCCGTTGGTCGAATTGGCCTTAACAAACGATTTTACTCATTTTTATTTTCCATACACTTTGTTGATTTTTTTTTTCACCCCTCCTTTTTCACATATACGCTTCACTGTCCAACCATCTGCTCAAATTTATAATCCTTAAAGAATGTTATTTCAGTGTGTATTTTTTCCAATTCATTGATCTATTTTCTATTGCGAAACGTTAATTCAATTCTTTATTATTCTTACCACAACTAGTACATCAGTCATCACACTAATAATTTATAGTATTCACTTACTATGTTTAGTAATGTAATCTATTCCACCGTTATCACTTACCCATAAACTCTCTTAATCAGTTCAGTAATCCTATATATGCATATTAATATCCTTGCATATTAGCGTAACACGTGAAGAGGATGTAGATGTCAACAATATAGTTTACTTATATGTATGCTGTTCAGATCTACCATATTGGTATTTTTTAGTATTTTAAAATAATAATCAATAATGATAAACTGTAAAATGGAAGAACTTCTAAGACATTTACATAGATATTCAGTGTAACTTAAGTGCTTCAAGTGTTTCGTCCTATTTGGGGATCATCAGCTGGATATATCTGCATCTCAGAGTTGATGATCACTGTGAGAGTCAAATCCTGTAACTTTCGCTTCAAACGCCATCACGTTATCCACTTAACTACTGAGTCCTGATAGCTGCCTGCTTGTGCAATGGGGTGAAGTTATATTCATTTGGTATTGTTTACTTTTATCTTCCCATTTTTATTTGGTTAGTCTCTTGTTACAGTCGTAAACATCAATAGAAAGATCCAAATAAACAATACCAAGTGAATTTACTATAATTATTTTAGCACTGATAAAAACCATAATAATTGTATTGTTTTCTATCTTTTGTTTAAATTTCTAGGATCGTAAAGGCAATCACTTTTATATGGGATTAAATCATGAAGGTGTCATTACGTATAGAGGAAGTAGAAAAGCACATGTTTTTAGTTGGTAAGATGCTTTTTAAATATTTAAACAAATTGGTAGTTGATGATATATATATATATATATAAACATAGTGTGTAGGTACCTGTTTATCACGACCGGAGCTTAAACATTAGATGGGAGATTAATAATGTTCAACTGTAGTAAATCAGTCTAGAATTTTATGGGAGAATCAAAGAAATGAAACAGATTATTGAATATAAATTTTGTTAGTTGTTAATTATAATAGTGATAGTTAGCTATGAATGGAGTTATACACATACCTATTGTTAAAAGCTAAGCCTTAATAAATGATTTAGATATTTAAGTGGAATTATGTTGATAGAATACTTTTAAGTTTTGACAAAGTTTTTTTCTTGCTCAAACTTATCACCAAGTCTAAATCATCAAATGTCCAAGTAAGTGTAATATTGTGTCTGTTCATTCTATTGTCTAGTTATTGATTTACATTGAAATGTATTATAATCTTATGTATAATGAAGTTATTTTCAACATTTTAGTTAATAAGTAGTATAGTTTACTGTGTAAAAAGTATTATGGATTATTTCTGAAATCATTGAATAGATTAATAATGATACCTCGAAACTATCAAGTTTTGAACTAAGTGTGTGTGTGTGTGTTGTGTTTAAGTCAACTTTTGAATGACTTATAAAAGACTGTTATTAAATATTTAATTAATATTTGGCTAATATTCAAGTTAATAATCAACTGAAGATTGAACTAGTGACAAATGTTTATTCTAAATTTTAAAAATGATGATATTTTTCTGTTATAACTTGTGAATCTGTGTGCCCCTGCATATTGGATAACGCAATGACACCGCCTATTAGAGAGTAGCGAATTATCGAGATATAACATTTTCTAATCAGTTTTACTATTAAACAAAAATCTACATTGAACTGTACATACTGCTTCATAGGTCAACGATATGACAAAGAACAAACATTGAATATTCACCTATTTAACTTGAAGGCTTTGAATTGTGTCTTGTTGTTAGTGAAAGAAATGACCAGTCACATTTTATATTTATGCACATCCTGAACGGATTGTCTGGATCGTGCCATACAATGACAAGATATTTGGTAAATTTAAATAGTAGCTCACAATGAGATACAGTGAATGGCGTTTCATTCCATTTTCAGTTGGTCAATTAAATATGTTTCTTATAAGATATTAATAAATTAAAGCATTTTGCTTCAGTGAAGCTGTAAACTTTTCAAAATCATACACAGAAGTAGAGGATTGTTCTAGATAGATGTAGATATCTTTTTATTTCGTGTTATCATTTCATAAACTGATTGTCATAGCGGTTAACTAAATTATTTAATTAAAACTATGAATAATCATATAAAAGTTGAGTCTCCTTTACATTTACCGATTCGTCTATATACAAGATTGTTAGCATGATTTCAAATACAGAATATACTAAGCAAAGATGAATAGTGGCTGGCAGTGGGATTCAAGATGCGCGTATCATCCCATTTGGGACTCCTCAGGACGAAACACGCGTCTTGAATCCCATTGCTAGCTACTATTCATCTTTGCTTATAAAGCTTGTGAATTAAGGCAATATCGAGGTAATACGCACAGTATGCACATATGTCAATAACGGACTGATCAATTGCAGTCTTTACTCTCAGTGGGAAGATACAAGCAAAACAATACCAAGTGAACAGAATATACTAATTTGATTTTTTCTCTGAGAGCTAGAATTTTAGTGAGCTAAAATCTATATCTTAAGATAGTCTAAAAGTATAAACATCGCTGCTGGTTGAAAACAATTGTCAACAACATGAAATGCCAAATTTCACTGATACTGCTGTGAACGAGAACACAAGTTGGGACAATCGAATGTATTTGAACATAAAATTACAGAATCTCTTAGTAAAATCTAAGAACCATGTAGTAAATAGTTCTTTAACAAACTATCAATCAATCGTTTCATACTGCATTGTTCCTTCGTTTCCATACCGATTGTTCTTTGTCCTCGTTTTCTTTCCTTCGATCCTCTTAACCTTCTGCCACTAGTCAGCTCAATTTCTTATATCAATCAATATCAGTAGCACATACCACAATGTTAACGTCAAACACATTTTGTTCATTTAAGTAATTCAAAGTTTATTAAATGATATTTTAGACTACAAATACTATACTATCAGTGCCCATACTACTTAAAATAAAATAAAATCGCGAGGTGGGATCGTGGATGAGCACTGCTGAAGAGTTACATAATAGGATAAAACAACCATCCAGTGCTTCCAGGTTTTCCATGGTGGTCTAGCTTCAACTGACTCATGATTTCAATCTGTGAAATAAAAAGAATTGTTCATCCAGAATCGGCTTTTTTTTTAAAAATTTTGTAAAACAGAAGAATAGGTTATTTTCATTGTAGTTTATGATAGGATGTCAGATATATATATTCACTTATATGAACTATTCTGTACATTAAAATGTGTAATTGTTTTAGTAACCTCATTCTACAATAGTGAGATGCTCGTGTTGTTACTAATCATAAAATATTAACTTTCTATTTATAAATATGATTTTTGTAAAGGTGGTTTAAAATCAACCGAATTTTATAAACAATGAATACATTATGTTGTTAAATATTATTCAATTATCGCTATCAAGGCTTAGCAACACCCATTAATATGATGAATGGATGTTGATAGTTTACTTACTAGATCAAACTCCTAAGGCCACATTTATGTGTGGATAACTATTTCCTAATTAGAAACATCAAGTACAACGTTTTCAAAATTAAGTATACTGAAGATTTGTTTTTAATATTCATCGATTACTGATGTAGGTATGGTTAACAGTATTACGTTGTCTGTTTAGTAAAGTGTATCAATCTAGTAAGTAATTAAATGCAATGAGAATAGTTTTTGTCTGTTATTCCAAAGTGAATGTTGACTTGATACACTAGGTTTCAAGTGAGAAACATTTACGAAAAATTTGGTATACTTAATAAAGAATCTTCTTTAAGTAAAAATCACTTTATGAATGTAGTATACGCATTCCAAGGTAATAATATATACATGGGGTATTTGAAATATTTATTGAGAATTTGACTGCGTTTGACTGGATTCGAACCTTGCAGGGGGTCGAGATCGTGGATGCGCACTGCTGAGGAGTCCCACAATAGGACGAAACGGCCGTCCAGTGCTTCCAGGTTTTCCATGATGGTCTAGCTTTAACTGACTCATGATCTTAACCATTGAAATTACTATAATATCCACAAAACCCATCGGATATGAAAGAAATTTCTTTATTTGAGTGTTGTGTTCTCCACTGATGCAATAATCTCAAGTTCTAGTAATTCACACATTTCAGTTAATCCTACTGTTATTACCATAACATTTTGAGGAAATGGGATATTCATGTATAAATCGTTTCGTTCAGAGAACGTAACATCACTGGATAATTTTAATAGTTGAGATCATAAGTCAATTGAAACTGGACCATCATCAAAAACCTGGAACCACTGGACAACCGTTTCGTCCTATTGTGGGATTCATTAGTTCATTGTTTGTATTATCGATTAGTTTTGGTAAGACGATAATCGAGAACCAGAAAGTACTTCACGACTGTTCTGTTATATTGTCGAACTCCTCAGTAGTGTACACAAGCAATAACGCCACACGAGATCGAACCAAAGACCTTCAGGACTTGCTGGTAGCACTAAATCATTAGGCCACTGGTTCGGTATCAGATTGTTTACATACCTAACTTCAATCATTTCGTCATAATGCTTGAACAATTTTTCTTGATGACATCGGTTGGTAGTTGCCTAATACTTGACATCAATGAGCTAAACGTATCACGTCATTAAAAGACAGTTGAACAATATCGCAAATTCATTGAAGTTAGACACATAAGTCATTGGATGCTAACTCAAGGACCTAAATTTTAAGCCATGGACGTAAGTATTGATAGTCTTGGTTTATTTCCCTCCAGTGAGATCGTAGGTACGCACTACCATTGAGTATGATACTGGGACGAAATATCAGCTCAATACTTTCTGATTTTTAATGATGATCTAACTAAGATAAGCTCGTAATATAGCCGGTAAAATTTAACAATAATCATAAATCCATGTACTAACAGTCGTTTATTTTTATTGTAATAATGATAATAGTAATAATAATTATTGTTAACATTGCATAATATGCTATTCACATTTATGAGAGTAAGTTAATAAAGAAAATATATAGATATAGGTTTATGTGATGCGGTCAGACTTTTCATGTTGAATGATGTGATCATTATTATTATTTCTGACTAACTGGGTACTTGTCGCAATATCGAGTAACAATCTTTCATCTCCTTTGCTGAGCAATTATTTTACATCTGATATAATTAAACTCTGGTTGTCATGACTTGTCTCTAGGACTCCGAGAATTTCCCTTCGGAATTATTCACAAGTGAACAAATGACTATTATCTGCATAGAGGGTTTATAAAGATTGTTGAATACCATAGTTTTCGTCATTGAGTAAAACTACTTAAAAAATTATTGAAAATCAAGAAACACGGAACAAATAGTACATGGTTATGTAACATTAGGATATGTTTGAATTAAATCATGCGATCTACTGGTTGCTAGTTAAATAGTCTAAGGATTTAGAGTCTGTTACGGGGTCTGAAGGCTATGAATGTGATCTTTTATTTGATACGTTCTTGGATTCATACTGCTTCCGAATTCTTATGTATTAAGATGAAATAATTGAAAAATGCTTTCTAGTTTCCACTGTTCGCATAGCTAGAATTGATTAGTTGTATAAACTCTATGCCTGAACAATCTCTTTATATCTGTACACTAATATTAGCAGTATTTTTTGATTTATAGTTTAAATGGATCTTTTGTTATGAATACATCAAATTGAATTTTCATTGATTTAACGAAATGTTCTAAGTTAAATAACCATTCAAAATATGGAAGCAGAGGACAGCCGTTTCGTTACAGTATAGGACACCACAACGACAGTGGGCATTCATGATCATGCCATCAGAGACTGAAACCAAGGCTCTTTTAAAATCTTCAACAAATCCCTTTACTGAAAATGAATAATAAATTAATACACTGTGTATACTATTTACTTTTCTATCATTGTCTGTCTATTATTATTTTATGAGTTTAAACAAATTCCCTGGTACAGCCGAGAGTGAAGAGAGTCAGCTCTGCCCCTCAAAATGCCCTCACATGGCCACATGCATACAACCACTGCCACGGAAGTCTTACTCACTGCCTTCTAGCGGCAAGGGTATTGTTCAGGAAATTGAGAGCATGAAAAGCAATTGTTCGACGCTTTAACCGGGTTGGTAGATATAAAGGATGCACCTAGAGAATTTGGAAAACCCTTATTCCAAAAGAATGGTAAATATGGGCTCCAGGATCCTAAGGGAACAAATGGCGTATGACCGTCTACCATGGGACTACATCTTACATGGCTCAACTGCCTTGTAAATTATACCTTTAGGTTGAAAGCTACGGGTGTGGTTCCCTAAGAAAACCACCCATTTCTTCAAAAAATTAAGTAAACAAAAAAAATGAAATCATTTTTTTACATTAACACTGAAATATGTTTATAATTGACAGGAATATTAATTTTTCGAATCTCCTATTAAACAAATGTGTAATACAACAGGTTATGTGTTATAGGCGACAATTAGAAACTATCTAAGTAAAATTTTAATAAATCTAATATGAATTGAATCAATATAAAGTGGAAGTAGCTGAATATATTGCATAATAGTTTAATTCAAATGTAAACCGAATTGCTTTAACGATTGAATGAAGTAATTAGAAACATAGAAAAATGTAATATTGAAAATAACTACTTGAATTTATTAAAACATATATTCTGAAGACTAGATATTAGAAGCAAAATTGGATGGTGACTAACAGTGGAATCCAAGACGTGCGTCTTGTTTTTATTCAAGACTTGTCAGCTGGGTGTATCTTCATCCTAGATTTGATGTTCATACTTGAACTCGAACTCAATGCCGTTCGCGTGAAACACCAACGCGTCCTGGATCCCACCGCTAGCCTTCATATATCTCCTCTCGTAATGCTTGTAACTTAAGACAATATCGAGGCAATCCGTACATAATACATATATACCAATAAGAGATTGATAAATTGCAGTCCCGAGCATCAATGGGAAGATTCGCACAAACAATACAAAATGAATTTAACTGTAAATATTTTGTGTCAAAAGTATACCTTATATAGAGATATAAACTATCTCTCAATAACCAAATAACCGACGAAATATTTACTGACTTCTAATGATGGAATACTTTATTCTTTGGGTATTTCTGAAATAGTATGGTTGTTGTTAAAAATTCAGGAAACAATGGATATATACTTTCTAAGTGTCGTATCTAGAATTTGAATTTCTACCACGACGCATACAACATGAGCGCTCAAACGCTCGAACCCTTCAAAATGCAAGTTAGTCGACAGAAAGAAATCGTATTCAAACAGTCAAATATGGTACAAAAACTTGGGTATTTATGGTTTTTAGTAAAAACTAAATCATCATTACAATCGTCCAATCCGCACGCAGTAGTTTTCAGCACATAATTGATCGAGAGGCTACATATCGAGATTCTGGAACGTTATTTCAAAAGATGATTAAACGGAATGTCTTCGGTTTTTTCAGAGCTTTTCAGAGCTTCTTTAAGTCCATCAGTAGCCTTCCGCTTATTGAGTCTTACCAGATGTACAGGTGTTGAGGTAATTGGAACTAGCCTACAGTATCTACCGACCTATATCTTATCGTAGTTGACATTCGTCAGTGATGAGTACTTATTGGATTCAATTACGGGTTGTCCAGTTTCACACTCTACCACATTATTACTGGGTTATTGATTCGACAATTGACCTGAGCCATTTACAATCAATTGATCACTGGATTATAACAAATATCATATTTAACTTGTCCCACAAAAAGCATTAGCTCCCTAAAAAATGCAGGTATGACTTACTGGTAGATGATAAATAGCACGAAACCAAAATGAAATAAGGCTTCAAGTCAACTGTTTTCAAATGACTTATATCTAAATATAGAGTTCGATATTTTAAGGTCATTAGATTACTGAACATTTTGCAGCCTAATCGACAGAAATTGGTCAGTACTTAAAACATTTGATGAACATTGGTATCGGTCACTAATAAGTGGCTGATCAATTTTATAATTCCAGCTATTAGATCAGACATATTATTCATTAAAATGTGAATATTTTATTAAACCAGTAAACATTACACCATCTATCTATCTATCATATAATAATGATTTTTATGCAGAAAATACTTTCGAACATAATTCTACTTTATATAGTTGGTACTTACACACACTATAATCAAGCAATGTTTTATTTTCAGAAGGGGTTTGTGGATATTTTAGAAATTTCACAAATTGAAATCATGAGTCAATTGAAGCTAGATCACCATGAAAAACCTGGAAGCACTGAACGGTCGTTTCGTCCTGATATGGAACCAGGTTTGTTGTGAGATATCAGCTCACTGAAGATAATGGTATACGGTGGCGCAACTTTGTAGATTGTTAGAAGTTAGACATTAACACCGTTGGATGCCGGTCGGCTCAGTGGTCTAGTTAGTTAAGCTCCTGGCGCGAGACTGATAGGTTCTGGGCTCGAAACTCGCGGGTGCGGAGTTGTGGATGCGCACTGCCGAGGAGTCCCATACTAGGACGAAACGTTCGTCCAGTGCTTCCAGGTTTTCTATGGTGGTCTAGCTTCAATTGACTGATAATTTCAATCTGTGGAATGTTTTATTTGTTTTATTATGTTTTGTTTAATCAATCACAGTATTTTCATTTACTGACATTTTACCTATTCTATGAATTAATTATTTATCTACAGGCAAAAAATCAATAAAATAAGCTATGAAGGAAAGTTATTCATTATACAAGTGGAATGGGAACAGGTATATTCTCATTTTATTAATATCTTTGATTGTTTCCTTGAGCTAATTTGATTTGTATAATGTTAAAGGATATTTCATATAATAACATATTTATAGATGATGATATCGTTTATTAATTTAAACACTTTGAAATTCTTACCTAGAAGTATATAGTAATGAAGTGTTTTGAACAAATCACAGTCAAATATATACACTATTTGATGTCGGCTCAGTGATCTGAAGATTAAGGATTTGATGTGAGATCCGATTATCCTGATGCTTCGTTATTCTCATTAAGTCATAAGCATTATAAACAGAGAAAGATGGTAGCTGGCTAGAGAGAAATACTGGTCAATCCCAGTCCTAATCGTTAATAGGAAGCTTCAAACAGCCAGTATATGTGAATTCAAATTCAAATTTATTCCATTATACGGGTTACTAGTTATCTAGACTCAGTAGCTAAGTAGATAGCGCGATGGCATTTGAATTGAACGATACTGGGTTCGAGTCCTTTAGTGAACGTCAATTCTGGGATGCAGATATACCCAGTTGATTAGTTCCAAATGGGAAGAAACTTGCGTCCTGCTAGACGCTATCCATCTCTGCTCATAAAGTTTGTAACTTAAGTCAGGATGCACTTTTACCAATAAAAGACTGAACAACTGCAGGCGTTAGCTTAAGTGTGAAAAATCAAACAATCAACAAAAAATCAGTCGAAAACACTATACGATGGTACAGCCAACAAACTATTTAATATAAGCACTTTTAAAGAATTTTAATATAGAGCAAAGTGGCTATCCTAACTTTTAGCAATGAGGTACCTAACCCTCTCGAGGTTACCCCAAAATGTAAGTCATGGATTTTTTATGTTAAGTTAAGAATTCATATCATGAGGTTTTCATTGTTCGGACAATTTCTCACTTGCATACTAAACTCGAGAATGACTGCAGGACATATGAAGATGAAAACAAAAGCCTCTATGAATCCCTTATGATCAGTAATGCAAACGAGGCAGTCGCTCATGATCCATCCAGAGGTCCAAAATTGTCCAATTCAGAAGCATGCCCTGTTGTGGGTTCAAATCCCACTGTGCCTGAAACATGTGAGGTATCCAGCTTACATGAAGAACCTCTCGTGCCAGAAAATGTTTCCCGTGCATCAAATAATGGTCAGAAATCAAATACGAATTCCAAAAATGCTGTTTATTTTAGTGACCTATTATCCTGTAATGGAATTTTGAAGAGGTCTGAAGAATATGTTGCACAAAAATCAAACCTTAATGACCTCATGTCTGGTGTCGCTAATCCTCATCATCTAGTCAGTTTTAGTGAACCCTCTACACAATGCGCGAAATATGCTTTAAATAGAGTCAGACTAACTGTTACTTGGGTATATGAGGACCCAACGTTATTTCGAGGGGGAGGACGGACGCAGAAAATTTTAAAGTCCAGATATTAACTCCGGATCTTTCAAAAAAAGGGGAGGTGTTAGGATAGTCGGAAAATATACCAATAATTATCGTGCTAAGTCTATGGTGGCCTTGGACCTTAAATGTACATTTCTTATTAGTCGATGTTTATTTCACTTGTTAAATATTTTGTAAATGTTGTTTCCTATTTTATGGTACGATGTGGTATGCTTGATTGGTATATAAACAAAGTATGTTTGAAATATAATGATTCATAACTCAGAGGCTGTGACTTGCGTTCTTCACTTAACTGGTTGGGACAGACTGCGAAGCGGGAACAATCAGGGCACTAGGTCGTCTGTCCATGTTTACGTGTCCACTGTCACAGATCGATAAATAAACGCTGCGTATCAAACCTTGCAGTCTCTCACACGTTACAACAGAAATATTCAAAGATTAAGTAATGTAAGCTTTCAAAAGTAATTGTTTACTTCACTGATAAACTGACAATTTATAGCTTAATCAACTTTTCTGTTCGTCATGCGAATTTATTTTTTTTTATCAAAGATTTAAGATGGTTATCAATTATTATTTTTAATATAATATTATTTTGAACAATTTGAAGCGTCGACATACACTTGGTTTCAAATGTCCAACTCCAGAATCAGCTGAAGCATTATGGAAATGGGCAGTTGATCGTCAATGTTTTTTCACGTAAGTGAAATATATATTAGAATTTTGAATACATATGTTTTTTTTAAAAAAAAAGTAATTGAGTATTTGTTTTGATGTATGATTTTCAATCTGGAAGTTAAAAGTTCGTACATGTGATCAAACATCCTGGATTTGATTATCAGATATGAAATCATGTATAGGTACTAAAGCCATACAACTAGTCATGTTTAAGTGATTTAAATAAGAAGAAACAGACAACTTTTCAAAATGGAGTATTTCATAGAGTTAGAGTTATTTGGAAATGAGTTAAGCATCAAATAGCCAACTAGATTTATATTTATCTTAATTGATTATTCCATAGAGTTTATTTACTTTAACTGATTCAATGCATTATTTATCTATGAAAAAAAAAACTTTTCATAAAAAAAATTTTTTTCCATTTAGCTTAAATCGATCTGTTGATGCCAAAGAATCCAAAGCTAATGGTGGTTTATTTAAACGTCGTCAATTTTATACATTTACGTAAGATTCAAGTTTTATGATTTATATTATATAATAACATTCTATAACATTCTAATAAATAGACCAGTACATGATATCTGTGTGGTGTGTACTACTTATATTGACATAAGTAGTATATAATGTTAGTCGTGAACAGAAGGTCTGACAACAGAGAGACAAGAGGATCGAACAGTAAAGAATGGAAACAGAATGCAATTTTTATGAAAATGCAAGAATAATGAAATCTGAGTCATTATGAGACAATTGATGGACATTTTACAAATTAAGCATTTACTTTATGATTGTTAGATTTTGTGTCAAATACATTCGATTGTCGCCATTCGTGTTCTGTTCACTACATCAGTAGTAGTTATAAATCACCAAAAAGAATTTTCGACAGATCATTTTACTTGTCTAAAGATATTTATGAAGAAAATCCAGAAATCATATGGATGTATCATTGATATTTTTTGGGTAACATTATTACGAATCAATCATCACTGGAAGTCATGATTTTGATTGATTAACTTCAAACGGTAGATTATTGGATTTAAATATGTTTAACTAGGAACTATTTAACTGAGTTCAAGTTATTCGACAGCATATTGAGATGTGAAAATGTTGTACATATCGAATATTTTTATCTTACATAATTGTGTTGTAAAGCAAGTCTAATTATTATATTATTCTGATAGTTTAAAGAATCGAACTGTAATAATATGAATGAATATAACAATTATCTCTAATTATCTTGTATTCAATTTTGTCAGTAATCTGAAACATTATTGTTATAATTTGTGCCCTGTGTCCTATTAATGTATAACGTGATAATACCACTAATTGGAGAATAGCGAATTATCAATCGGACTAATGATGCATAAAACCCGTGCGAGTAGTCTGCAGTCCTTCTCTCATGACTGTTGAATCCAGAACGCCAATCTCAGCCTCCACAATATGAATCATTTACTTCAAACATATTGGGTTTATGTACAAAGCAAACAGACCACATTGTACCATAAAATAGGAAATAACATTTGTAGAAGATTTAGCCAAATATGGTTGTAAAAGTGGGAGATTGTAATTAATAGACAGCACATAATTCAAGAATGGTAAATTGTATCATAATAGTCCATAGGTCAAAATAAAACTCATAATTAGAGGAACATGCATATGAATAATTTAGTTACATAACAATTATACGATGAAAGTATACGTATGGTATTGGTTCATAAATGGATCCCAAAAGTTACCATTCATTATGCTAATCGGAATATAATAACTGTATCATTTAATTGAACTTACTATTAAATGGATTTGCCAATTAAATTAAAATTTCTATTATAACAATCTTATTTATTCAGACAAAACGTAACATTCGTTTTAAGGAAAGTTCAAAATGAAACTATTAATTGTTACATAAATTGAGTTGATTTCTATTGTGTCCAAGATTTCATTGAAGTGATATATAGATATATATAGTAAGCTGAGTTCTACATAAGTTTAATCACTATACAATACTTTATTTGAAAAACTTCTTCATCATGAACCCCATTAAAGAAATTTTGATCAAGAATATATGTGAATCAATATGACTTTAAAGAAATTAAAATCTCTTTATTGAGTAATCTTTTTTATTTTATTCTACGTTGATTAATACTGATAGTAATTGTTATCCTAACATGATAGACAGGTTCATACATCGAAATAACTTAACTGAAATATATTGATTGGAAAATTTGTTCTTATAGGTTCTATCAACTTAGTAGCAGGTCGGTTAGAGAACACGAAGACATTATTCACTATACATTCTGCAAAGCTATAGGTCTAACATTTGATGGAGTTTTGTTCTTTGAGCTTTACGACCAAACTTACTTACTTACTTACGCCTGTTACTCCTCGTGAAGGAACATAGGCTGCTCACCAGTCCTGGGCAATCCTTTCCATCTCCTTCAGTTGTTATTCATCCTCTCCATATCTGCTTTCATTTCCCAACGTAATGTGTCCTTTGACCTTTCTCTTTTCCGCCTTACTTCAAAATCCCAAGTTAGGGCTTGTCTCGTGATGTAGTTTAACGATTTGCTTAATGTATGTTTTATCCATTTCCATCGTTTTTTCCTAATTTCCTCTTCAGCTGGAAGCTAGTTTCAGAGAACAAAACTCCATCAAAATCATCGACCTGAATTACAAATTTTCCCCACCATCTCAAAATTCATGACTAACTGAATAACTGATCGAAGCTAATTAATAGATTAAAATACGTCAATGCTGTAAATAAGCCTAATCTTTAATAATATTAAAATATATTAAAAATTCATTACTGAATGAATACTATACTTTGTATTCAATTATTTATTACATAACGAATTCAACCGTTTGGAGACATGCATTAATGAATTACATAAGTTTATAGGGATTATTTTCAGTCCGTTAAAGGCGCCGTGAATATATATATATACATACTGTTCCCTTTCACAGTATACTTGTTAGCAAATCAATACATTTCCCCCAAAAAAAATAATTTACAACATAGTTACTGAAATCAATAATAGACCTTATTAGTATTATTTCATTAATTTCTCTAATAGTTATATTATCATAATTATTGTATTTATTGTTATTAGGAATAATAAACTATTATATTATATATATATATACACGAAGTCTCTAAATTATGAGACAAAGTTTAGAAAATGAAAGAAAATATATTTCTCTTGGTAACCATGGTAACTGACAAAATAATACACATAAACTAACATAAATAAATATGATGTATCAGTTTTACAAGTTGTTTTTTTTGTTATATCATCAATACAAATGAATGCATATAATGGATATATATATATATACTACTTACAACAGTAGTAACAATAGTAACGTTTGTTTGGTAACATGCTTGACGTTTTATTATACAGAGGTGTGTAGTTATATATTACTTTTATCTGTTTTTTTTGTGTACAAAATCTCTAGGGGAAGATGCCAAAAGGAGTTAATGCAGCTTAATTCTAGTATGCCTGCTATACCTCAGCCCAGTGTCTCAAGGTAAGTAATAGTATTAGTAGTAGTCATTAGTAACATTAATAATAATAATAATAATAATAATAATAAGTGTTTCAATACAACTATGAAGAAACTAAAAACATTAACTTGTATCTATTTATTATGCACATCTATCAAAATAGTTGAATATAAATACGATAATTCATAAATAATTCAATAATATTGAATTCTAATTACAAATATCAATGACTATATAATACAGAGAAACAAATGGGGAAGAAATATGTTCACTCAAAGTTATCTTATTGTTTTGATAATTATGCGTATATATTACTGACTTACTTAATTACAGTTGTTATCTTTTGTGAAGAAGCATAGACCGCCTACCAGAATTCTCAATCGAATTGGGAAATAAACGATTTATTAATATACATTTTGTTGAATCTTCATCATGAAAATATGTTTAGTGTCCTAGCTTCATTTCCAATTTGTATAGAATGAAATTAAATAAATGGTTGCATTATTACTATTACTAGTGGAGCTAATCCGTGTCGAGTAGAGACAAGTATCTATCTCAGTACAATGGAAGATGGTCACGCAATTTCATGGATTAGTTGAAGTTAGACATTAACACTGTTGGATGCCGGCTCAGCGGTTTAGCGTTCAAGCACAAGACTGTAGTCTCTGGGTTTGAATCCCGCGAGTGGGATCGTGGATACACACTGTCACGGAGGAGTCCCACAATAGGACTCCACTATTATCATTACTATTGTTATTATTATTATATTATTGTTACCTAGTAATATTGTGCTTCAAAATCTAATCATCAAAGGTATTATTATTAATAATCAAATGATCATATCTTTTTGTGATATCGGAAACTTCCGATAGGTTTTTTTGGTGATTTGTTTTAAGTCGCTTCTCCAGAGCAAATAAATAAATCAAAAGCGGAATTTCTATTGTTTGTTTTCATTACACACAAAAACAAATAGTTGATGAGAATGTGCATTAAAAGTAATTGAGTTGGCTTTATTGAAAAAATAAACAAGAATAGAGTTGTTCAAACAGTATAGAGAACAAATAAGTTTCAAGACTAAATAATAGAAGATATAACTGATATAAGAACACACCCCTCCCCCCCAACGCACACAAACCCGAAAAGGCGTTTGTTATAATTTTATGAATAATGTAATAGAAAATAACAAAAAAATATTGTTATTACTTTCCATTCTGGGTTATTTAATATTGAACATTGTACAACCCACTTAGTCGTATCACTACTAGGATTTCGGCTAGAAGGTTATGATAGTTCATCACAAGAGAAAGCAATACACTCTATTGAATAAACTATAAAATAAAAGCATTTTTTTTTCTTTAATAAAAGCGATCAGAATTTGTTTAACTAGCAATTTCAAATATCATAATAATGAACAAACAATTGATTCATTTATTTTATATTGGTTGTTTGAATTTCCCCATTGACATTTATGAGTATAGTTGATCAGTCATTTATTGTGTATATGTGCATTCTGTGCTAATTACCTAGATATTGACTTATGTTACAATCATTAGAATTAGAGATGGATAGGTTCGAGTTTCGGAGTGAACAATAAATCTAGAGTGTACGTGTATTAAGCTAACGAGTCTTAAATATGATGAAACACACGTTTTACATTCGACTGTTAGCCACCATCCATCTCTGATTATAAATAACTAGTTATTTATAATAAACATACATATCGTTAAACATATAAATTATTTCAATTTGTCACATCATGTCAGCATAATAAGATGAGATTATGAGAATAAATCTCAGAGTAGTATAAATAGTATCAGTATTAGTAAAATCTAAGAGGTAAGAAAGAATGGATACATCTATGCCATTAGAATAGATTATAATCTAAGTCGACAAATCTCCCCAACTATTGATTATGATAATCATTAAAAAACTTAGACAAATAATTTCAAATCTATCAACTGTTTAGTAACTTGAAAGATTGATATTGTGTTTTAGTTTGATAACCTCTAGACATCTTCCAATCTACTCTTATAACATTAAACAAAAAAACAAAAAACTCGTCCTTCTTGTAGTTAGGCACTGATAGTGTATACATAACATATATACCTTATCAATTTATATATCCATATATTTCTTTATGTATAAAGCTTATAATTTACTGGATACAATATAATGTACAACTTTAATGTTAAAATTAATTTGATGTAAATTATTTAATTAGTCAATTTACAAAAGCCTACTGAACCAATCTGTGGGCTCAGATAATAATAGTAGTAGTAGTAGTAGTAATCACAATGATAAAGATAATAATAATAATAGTAATAATGGTCATATTTTATATGAAAATTATATTCAAAATAATCTTAGTGGTTGAAATTTAAATAGTTTCAATAGTTTCGTCCAGCTAAGTTATCTGGACTTCTTCAGGGTAATAATCAACATAAATATCATCGCTGTCTTCTCTATACTCGGTGCTCAATTTCTGTCAAACTATTCGTTCTAATCTTGACGAATATTCTTATAAATATGAATCATTTATTTCAAACATATTGGGTTTATGTACAAAGCAAACAGACCACATTGTACCATAAAATAGGAAATAACATTTGTAGAAGATTTAGCCAAATGTGACTGTGAATTTGGGAGGTAGTAATGAATAGACAGGGCATAATTCAATAATGGTAAATGGTATAATAATAATTAATAAGTCAAAATAAAGTTCATATTAAGAGGCATATGAATATGAATAGTTTAGTTACTTAACTATTAGACGGTGAAAGTATACATATAGTATTGGCTCATAAATGGATCTCAACAGTTACCATTCATTATGCTCATCGGGATATAACAGTGATAATAGTAATAATAATAATAGTATTGGTAATAATAATAATAATGGTAATGGTAATGATAATGATAATTAAGTTAAACATACATTAAATAAAAGTTAATTATATAGAAAAAAATATATAATAAAACAACCGAAAAAGAAACAACAACAAATGACTCTAATTTATTGATTATTGAACAATTCATTCCCCCCCCCCAAAAAAAAACACTTTCCATTCATAATTTCTATATAAGAAAATAATATTCCTAATTCAATTTTTTGTTTCTAATTTTAATGAAAGACCACACCCAAAAAATATATAATGTAATTTAATATTCATTTTATGTTTTTGCCTTAATTATAATTATGATTACTATTAATATTGATTTAGATTTTAGAAATGTTAATAGTTGAAATTATTAATCAATTAAGCTAGATCACCATGGAAAACGTTGAAGTACTGGACGGTCGTTTCGTCTTAGTATTGGACTCTCTAGCAATGCGCATTGACGATCCCGTACCCCGCGAGATTCGAACCCAGGATCGATCAGTCTCTCACGCGAACGCCTAACCACTAGACCACTGAGCCCAAAGGCGTACAAATGTGTTAATATCTAACGTCAACTAATCCGCGAAATCGCGCCTTCACACACCATTGTCTTCAGTGAGCTGGTCACGGCTTTTCACTAGAACTTTAGGAAATACCTCTTGAAGTCAGTCATTAGTGAGCAGATGATTATGATCAGAAGGGGTTTTGTGGAGAGTTTTGGAAACTTTAATAGGTGAATTCATGAGTCAACTGAAGCTAGACCTGAAAGCACTGCTGAGAAGTACCATACTAGGACGAAACATCCTTTAAGTGATTCCAGATTTTCCATGGTGGTCTAGCTTCAATTGACTCATGATTTCAATCAGTGAAATATATATATGCGCAAGAATAGGTAAGAGGTTATTAAATGTTAGAATCAATGAAACATTAAGGATGAGTAGTGTAGTAGTTGAGGCAGTTCAGAGCCACATGTTTAGTATCGTCATCCGAGATAATAGAACACTATGGAGTAGAGAGTACATTAGGGCATTTCACATATCAGAAATTAACTTCATCTATAACTTGTATGCTGTATTCAATTCAATAAATTTTAATTAATGTAAATAAAACTTCCTATAAAACCAATGATTTTAACATACTTCTTTTAAAAAGAGGCTTTACTCTTTTTATAAAATAACTCAATTTCTCTCATGTTTTCTGTTCATTATTTCTCTTTTTTTATTGATCAGAAGTAGAAGTTTATTGAATTTGGCCAAGTAAGTTTCAAAAATAATTTATAACAAATTCATACGATTATCAAAGTAAAAAGCCTATTAATTTAATAAAGATGAATTGTTTATTAATGTTACATCCTTTATCTATCTGTTCACTAGTCTGTGAAGGATAAGTGTTCTGTTTCGATCTAGTTTACAACCCCCGATATGATGCGTTACTTAGAACAATCTTGAGATTTGTACAGTTTAAGTTTGAGTTACACCTAAAAGGTGTTGATAGTAGAGTGAAAATATTGTTTTAACACTGGTCTATAACCTGACAGATTGGGAAGTATAGAGAGCAGAAGATTCAACTGATCATGTATGACCGATTTATTCTTGATTCATCTAACTCAGGGAAAAACACACAAGAATAAATGAATGACTTATATATTTATATGAAATCTGGTTTAACTCTTCTGCTTGAATCATTGAGTAGTAATTGATGTTATATTTATCCAATTCTTGAGTACTAACAGAATTCTATCAGATAATTTGTAATATGATCACTACTCTAAATGAATTGGCACTATGTTGTGGTATTAGATGATTGGAGGTAGTCGGCAGAAAACTCTTCTTGACCGACACTGCATGCTAGCAATCAAAACGTGCAGTCTTGAGCAAACTGATTTAAAGTTTAAATCCGAGTGATATGTATCTAATCTCATTAATTCCAGAGGACTGCAAGTACTCCGTGAGAATGATTGACACATAGTAACAAATCCAATTGAAGAAGGGTTTCCTGTCGTTCACCTTCAGTCACTTAAAGTTTTTTAGATTTTAGTTAATTCAACCAAACTTTTTATTGATCACTCTTTATTCATCTTTACCACCAATTACATGCATGGTGTTGAGTAAATATCATTCGATAGATTTATATTGATATCTAACTCCTATTGACACAGTGGTGTGCTACTAATATCGACATAAGTAGTATATAACGCGATTGATAAATATAATGTCTGGCAGCAGGAGATTGAGATCAAGCAGGAAAAAACGGAAACATAAAACAATTAGTACAAAAATTCAGGAACAGTCAAGTCTGAGACGACTGATTAATATTTTTCAAATTAAGTATTTACTGTATGGTTCTCAGATTTTGGTAGCCCGCTCTGTAATTCTGAGTTGTAATACAGCCGATTGTCCCGCCACTGTGTCCTTGTTTACTACAACAATAGTTAAGTGGAACTAGGATGAATGATGAGGTTAGCTATCTTTCGATGATAGGATAATATCAGCTAATAAACCAAATTATTTACTTACACCTGTTACCCCTCGTGGAGGAGCATAGGCCGCCTAATAGCATTTTCCATCCAACTCTGTGCTGGTAATCCTTTCCAGTTCTTTTCAGGTACTATTCATCCTTTTGATGTTTGCTTCATATTACAAACGTAGTGTTCTTGGGCCTTCCTTTTTTCTGTTTCCGCTCAGGATTCCAGGTGAGCGTTTGTCTTGTGATGCGTTTGGTGATTTCCGAAATATATGTTCTACCCACTTCCATCGTGTTTTACTAAATTTCTCTTCAACTGGAACCTGGTTTGTTCTATCCTACAATAGGATGTTACTGATGATTTCCATCCAACAGACACTGAGTATGTTGCGTCGAAAACTGTTTATAAATACTCCTACCTTTTTTATGATGGTTGTGGTAGTTTCCCATGTTTCAGCTATGTACAGTAGAACTATCTTGACGTTAGTATTGAGGATTGTGACTTTGATATTGATTGACAGTTGTTTTGAGTTTCATATGTTCTTCAACTGTAGGAATGCTGTCCTTGCTTATTCAATCACTGCCTTTACGTGTGCATCCGATCCTTCTTGTTCATCGATGATACTTCACAGGTTCGTGAATGACCCCACTTCTTCCAGAGCTTCTCCATTAAGTGTGATTGTATTTGGTGTTCTTCGTGTTGTATTTGAGGGTCTTTCTTTTCCCCTTGTGTATGTTGAGGCCTATTTTTGTAGAGACTGCTGCTACAGTAGTTGTCTTCATCCGCATTTGTTCGTGTGTATGGGATGGAATAGCTAGGTCATCTGCAAAATCCAAATTGTTTAGTTGATTCCAAGCTGTCAACACAATTAGCATGCACCATAACATCGATAAATATGACATGAATTGATGCTTGAATATAGCAAATAAATCTCTAACACTAACAATACATACTTGTAACTAGAAAAAGAGAAACATTTAAATCTGAATTAAGAATAAATATCTATTTTTGAAATTAGGTACCATTTTATCTCATGTTAATATTAAATCATTATCATTTGTCATATTGATATCCATTAGTCTACTCTAATTATATAATTTTTAGGAGTGTTCATGATAAACGACATTCACAAAGTCAAAATGATTTGGATCGTAAATATGTGGATAGTAATGAAAATCTTCAAGATAGTTCACGGATGAATCGATTAATGAAAGGTTTAGATCATCACAGAAGTTCTTGTAAGTTCATGAAAAAAAGAAGAATTTATGTAGAAAAATTGGTGTTATTTAAGAAACCTGACTAATGATTTTTTAATTATCTTACATTAACTGGCTAGAAGTGATCCGTCACTATTCGAAAAAATTACATGATTACATAAGAAGAAGCAACAAGTCTTAACAGTAGATCCGTAGTTAGGATCTTTTATCGAATTATATCAATTTGGTAACCTATTAGCCAATCAGTTTTATCCAGATTATTTAATTTTTATCTATTTGTATCAGAAGGGGATTATAGCAATTTAAATAGTTGAGATTATGAGCCAGTTGAAGCTACACTACTATGAAAAACCTAAAAGCAGTGGACGGCCGTTTCGTTTTGTTGCGAGTCTCCTCAGCAGTGTGCATTCACGAACCCGTCTCGCGAGATTCGAACCGTAGACCTATCGATCTCATGATCTGAACTATTGAAATTACTATAATATTCACAAAACTACCTTCTGATACTAATCAACATATATTCACTAGTGGCTGGCTTCAAGAGGGATTTCCTGGAGTTCTAGTGGGAAGCAGTGACCAGTGTAGTTCAACTGGATCTTCTGTGAGATAGGAACTCATTGATGACAGTGGTGGATGTGTCGCTCATTTTCGTTAGACATTAACACTGCCGAATGCTGGCTCAGTTGCCTGGTGGTTAAACGTTCACGCGCGAGACTGATATGTACTGGGCTCGGGTCTCGCGAGGCGAGTTTGTGGATGCATATTCTGTTCGAGGACGAAACGACCGTCCAGTGCTTCCAGGTTTTCCATAATGTTCTAACTTCAACTGACTCATGATTTCAACTATTGAAATTTTCATTAATCTTCACAAAACCTTTTCGGAAAATGAATTAGAGTTTAGTTGTTATATTATAACAGACAAAACTTCATTTGAAATTAATTTTCTTTTTTCAGTCATTTATTATTTTACTTTATTAAGTCATTTTCATTAGTTAAATGAATGTTAATTAATTATTCTCTTATTTTGTAGTAGAAACACGTAGAAATAATAATGAATTAGATGATTTAAATGATAATCTTTTCATGAATAAACGATTAACTGATCAATTCAATGGAGGAATAAAACAACAATTACAATTACAAACATTACAAAATCAACAAGAACAACAACAACAACAACAACAACGTCAACATAAAAGTAGTTTATCTACACCGAATTTAATCAATATTCCTGGTATTCATAAAAATCTCAATGAAATCAATAATATTGTTGCTGAGGGTGATTTATTATCTGATAAAAAGAAATCTATTAATGAATTATATCCAAATAAAAATGATACAATAAATGAAAAACAACGAAATAATATTAAAATAGAACAAACGAATATAACAAATACGATGAATTTAATACAATCAAATATTGATAATGATAATAATGATAATATTGATTCAATTAGTTCCGGTGTTGAAGCAAATGCTGAAGCCACAGAGCAACCATTACAAATTGATGTAAATTTAAATAATGTGAATGGTGTTGGCGGTGGTGGTGTAAATGGTTTTTGTACTGGTTCAGTTAATACATTATCTTCATCACCATTAAAATCAGCTGATGAAGATGATGATGTTGTTGATAATGTGAATGAGAATGATGAATTTGTTAATGATGCATTAAAACAAACTAATAATTCAGATATGTATCAAAAATAAAAGTTGGTAATTGGCTTGGAGCGAATGGAATAAAATCTATCAACAATACTGAAGATGATACTACTCCAATCCCTTCAATCAATCCAAAAACAGACAATAATAATAATAATATAGTGAAACATTGAATAATTTATCCAATGAACAATTAAATACAAAACCATATATAAGTATTAATTCGGAAAATATTATCAAAGATGATTCATATAGTCCAATTTCTACTATATCTATATTAAATCCTTATTCAAATCATTATGAAGAGGCAGAGACTAAAGTTAATTCCTACTATAAAAAACCAACGATGAGTTTAACTACTACTCATCAAATTGAAACTAATCCAATCAAATCACAATATAAACAAACTATAATTAATCGTGATAATCAATATTCAATTCAATCGATGAATGATCATTCATCTATCATAGAAACTACAAAACAATCATCAATGAATCGATCGAAATCACTATATTTTAATCAAAATAAATCCATAACAACAATGATGATGACGACAATGACGGGAACAATAACAACTACAACAAGTTTAAATAGTTTAACAACAACAATACCACATAAATCTCAAACATTATCATATCATCGTATGGAAAATATAAATACATCGAAATCATCTATTTATTATCCATATGCATGTAATATAACTACAATACCTAATACAATAAATGATACATTACCATCATCATCATCATCATTATATTCATCTAATAATTATGAAATACCATTAAATATTAAATCTATGAAACATTATACAGAATCACGTAAAAATATTATTTGTTATCCTAAATTATCTCAGTCAAATTCAAATGATCCATTATTATCTAGAAATACTTCACAACATATATCAAGACAATTCACATTGAATAAAATGAAATCAATCAAAGATTTATCCCCACAACCAAGAGATTGGTATCATACAATACCGAATCCAATAGAAGATAAAACTAATTATCAGAACAATATCAATCCTGATATTAATAATATTATATTAGATCCAATAGATAATAATATAAAACAAATAGATGATATGGATCATATAGATACAACATTGAATAAGAAAGAATCTATATCAAATGATTTATTATATAATAATGGTTATTATCCATTATCTAATAAGAAATTAAATTATTCAATGTTACCCCTATGATTCATACACATAGTAATTATTATAATAAATCAGATAGTATGATGGCACAAACTTTATCACCATTCAATCAAAATGTATTAGATACATCTAATCATGGATCATCATTAGCTAAAGCAACAAAATCATAAATTTGAATCAAAATATATCATCATCTATTAGTACAAGTGAATTAATCAATAAAACACGATCATATCATGAACCATTACATAATTCATTAAAATATAATTCGATAATTGATCAATCAATATTACCAACATCATTATCATTATCAACATCAAATTCATTAGCTTATTTAACACAATCATCTAATAGAAATTTATATCAAACATCTAATCCTGTAATTGACTCATCTTCTTATTATAATCAAATAAATAATAATAATCTAAGAAAAACAACACATACTACTACTACTAATACTACTAATATGAATGTTAATAGTAGTCAGATGAATAGAACAGCTGGTAGTACTGCTGCATATCTTGCAGCTACCGGTGTTGGTGCATATAAATTAGGTGATTCATTAGCTTTATTAACAAATAGAACAGATCATTTAATTGAATCCACTATAAATAATGATAATAATAATAATGATAATATGATAAGTAAAGAATATCCGAAATCTGTTACATTTAGTCAAAATCATTTAATCACTATTGGAAATAATGAAAATAATAAAAAACTAGTAAGTTATTATTAAAAAATTATTTGTTTTTTATTTGAACACATAAATATTAGTACAAGGAGGTACCAAATATATATGCGCCACACCATATTTGTCCGTGTGTGGGCTGTGATACTTCTCGGGTGTCCAGACCGAAGCAGGTGGTTTTCTTAGGGGGCCATACCCCGAGCCTTTGACCTAAATGTCTGACCCACAAGGCAGTGGAGCATCGTGAGGAGATGCAATCTCATGGTAGCAGGTGACATCCGCTCTTCGTCCTCTCATTTTCGTAAACAACACCCCATGCCACGAGAAGGCAGTGAGTAGGACTTCTCTGGCAGAGGCTGTATACGCGAGGCCGTGTGAGAGTATTTTGAGAGGGTGGGCGGGCCCACCCCACTCTCGGCCATACCAGGGCATTTAAAAAAAGTTCAAATATTTCTATATTGAAAATATATATTAACATCAATAGAAACTAATGAAAAGAGTTCCATAAGAACTTTTATCTTAACTTGAATGTGAATGAGTTTCACATGATTTAACCTTTGAGTTGATGTAACACATTAAAGAGGAAGAATGTGTAAGTAATATGTTGGATATACTTTCTACTTCATTCATGAAAATATTCATTGATCATTAAATATATTGTTTACATTCACTTGATATTCTTCATTTGAATCTTTCTATTGATGTTTAGGACTGTAATTGATCAGTTTCCTATTAATATATGTGCATCCTATGCGTATTGCCTCTAAATAGCCTTAATTCACAAGCATTCTAAATAAAGATTTATAGTGGTGACATAGTAGTGGAATCCAGTTTAACGCACGTTTCATCCTACTTAGGACTTGTCAGTTGGATATATCTGCATTCAAGAGTAGATGTTCACTATGGGACTCCAATAAAGTACCTTTCGCTTCAAACGCCATCACGTCATCCATTTAGCTATTGAGTCCTGATAGCCACTTGTTTGTGTAATGGGGCGAAGTTTAAATTCATTTGGTATTACAAATATATTATTTATTTATAACAATCTACCCAATGCTCAATTTATTCGAAATTATCAAATTAAACCTTGATAATGATACATAAAAACTCATTTGATATTGTTTGTTTGAATCCTCTCATTGATGTTTTGGACTGAAATTGATCAGTCACTCATTGTGTACATGTGCATACTATGCGTATTACCTATATATAGTCTTAAGTCATAAGTATTATGTGCTAGCCACAATCCATCTTTATATACAAATATAATGTTTATTTTGAAGTATTTACTGCCATGTAATGCTTCTAGGTCTTCAATGATGGTCTGTATTAGATTAATTAGTGAATTTAACTGTGAAAATACTACGATCCTAATAAATCCTCACATCGATATTTATTCTTGAATTGAAATGGTTGAGTGTTTGCTCAGTGTCTAGTGAAAATTAAGGAAAAAACTAAACTAAACATACTGATGAACAAGATATGTAACTTAGGGGTCCACTTTACATATACTTGAGTTCTTTGAGTTTATAGCCCCCAAATGACCTGGTACGGTCGAGAGTGCAGAAAGTCGGCTAGCACTCACGAAATGCTCTCACATGGCCACGCGCATACAACCACTGCCAGGGAAGTCCTACTCATTGCCATCTAGCGGCGGAGATACTGTTCACGAAACTGAGAGGACGGAAAGAGAATGTCCGGTGCTTTAACCGGGTTGGTGGACATGGAGGGTTCATCTAGGTGAGTTGGAAAATCCTGATTCCAAAGCAATGGTATACATGGGCTTCAGTGTCCTGAGACAACAAATGGCATATGAATCAATTATTATTGACCGCCTACCATGGGACTGCATCTTCTTACGTTGCTCCATTTCCTTGTGGATCAGAGCTTTATGTTGAAGGCTCCGGGTGTGGCCCCTTAAGAAAACTACCTTTTCGGTTTCGGCACCTGGACAGTATCCTAGCTCTCACACAAATCGGATGACTTATGTGGTGCATATCTATTTGGTGCCTCCTTGTATCAATGTTTATGTGTTTAAATAAAATAAAAATAAAACTTTGAATTTATTTATTTAATGACGTAGCTTTTTATTATTCTTCCGGATAAATATGACTAGAGTGTACTTTATCTAGAAATGAAAATTTTAGTTATTCAAAAAGTGTTAAATTAGTTTGCCTTGGTGAACTTGTTTGTGTTTGATTGTCTTCTTTAAATCTTGTATTCAATTTCACTTATTTGTTTCATTGATCTCTGATAATTCATTTCAATTTGAAATAATGCATTACGAACAAAGTCATCAGAATAAACCAAATTAAAGCTAATAGAATAAACAATTGACTTAATTTTACATAAATTAAGCGTTGATGATGTTATCCATAATGATGATGATAGCTTTTTAACTAAACTATCCAATTCAGTGTAATCAACAACAATGTTTAAATATTGTAGGCAACAAGAAGTTAGCCAGTTTTTGATAGAGTGTCATCTTAGTTTCGTATTCTCTACTTGAATGAAAATGCATTTTATTGATGCATTTATTGAATCTAGCTAAATACCATAAATGTGAAGTTTATGTTATATTCATAATATAAGCCATCTATTTATTGTAATTGTTATCTCGAATTTATAATCTAATACACTGCGACCTATTTATGCAAGTTTTTATGATCAACGATCAATGGTTCGGAATAAGATTCAAGAGACATATTATGAGTTATCTAACGTTTAAAATCGATTGATCACAGGTTAGTAACTAATGTCGCTTGTGTTCAGTATTGATCGAATTTTGTTAATCAAGTTATAAAATGAACACTAGTATAAGTGTGTCAACATTTGTATACTCTGTTGAAATATTAAATGTTTCGAGGCAGTCAACAAGAATCCCTGTTCTCGTACTCGTCAGCAAGGTATATCTTAGAATTTCAAGGAAGTAGTTTTTCCTGGTGAATTCAAAACGGCATCACCCAGTTTCACAGTTTTAATCCCTCAGGTAGCATTATTTCTTTCTAAATTACGGGTACGGATTAGTGATATGTGCTAACTAGCATGAAATATATTTCAGAGGTTTCCTGCTGACTACCTCCAACCATCTGAAATTTATCTTCTAATGGTCACGAAAGTGTGTTAGCTATGACATAAGTTCGACTAAATTCCGTTTACTTGAAATGAATATTAACTCATTGTCAAATGTATTTTCCCAATCTATCTTCATATTAAGTGAATGCTTTTTTGTCAAAAGAATTTAGTAACCTTTTTATGCTTTAACTAAATATTAACACTCGAGATGTTTAGATGTTAAGTTACTGATGGTATAAACGTTAAGTCACTATGTAGGACTTGAAAAAGTAAATAAGAATTATTGTTTTTTATCTTACGGTGAAATCAAGGAATAATTGTAGTGTGACAAGGAATATATTCTGCAACTGTGATTCACTTCCAAATCGTTGATGTTCAAAATATGACACCTAGATCTTCACACAGAAATTCAAAACATTCATGTGATCAGTTGATATATTAGTTCTCCCAAAGAAGATATTTACACAAATCACACCAAACTATTAGAAGTTTAATGGTTGAATTCATGAGTCAATTAACATTAGACCACCATGAAAAATCTGGAAGCATCGGGCGGCCATTTTTGTTCTAGCCTGGGACACTTCAGGAGTGAGCATCTACGATCCCACTCGCTGGATTCGAATCCAGGACCTCCGATCACGATTGCGGACGCTTAACCTTTGGACCACTGATCCGGCATTCACTAGTGTTAATGTCTAACTTCAACTAATCCAAAAAATTGTACCACCATCCATCACTATTAAGGAATCACACGAAATCTGTAGACGAGACTATGTGATCGATTTGTTACAATAACTCTGTGTATGATTAAGTAGAAAATTAAGCAAATGAAAATAAATATTGAACATTATTTCTAATATTAATGACACCACATTATTAAAACTGATGAAAAGAAATTAAATGGTGAGAATTTAAGAAAAATCCACTTTACTTACTTATTTACGTCTGTTACTCCTAATGGTGCATAGGTCGTAAACCAGTATTCTCCAACACACTCTCGCCTGGGCCTTCCTTTCCAGTTCTATCCAATTTTTATGCATTATTTTCATATCACTCTCCTTTACTGGGAGTAATGTGTTCTTAAGTCTTCTTCTCCTTGGCCTTGAGGATTTCAAGTGAGGGCTAGCCTCCACATGGAGCCCCCCGTGAGCTACTGTCGGTTTCAAGATTAGACAAAGAGAAGGGTTGGGCATGGGTTAGCAAACCTTATTCCGTAGAAAACTAATTCGCTAAAAAAACACTATCCAAAAAAAATCAATTCAAGAAAAAAAAATCTGAATGAAAAATAAAAAAATTTGAAAAACATTAAACTAATCACATTGAACATTATGGTACATCATCATGAGGTTGTGTAACAAAAATTGATTTTTTCTTTTGGTTCCTAGTTGATATCTGCATTGTAATAAAATTACAATTTCACCCCTTTTTTCATTGATTCGTATAGGAATCTCAAACAAAGACATCTAGTCATTATTCAATAAAACAAACTTCTTCTTATACACCATCAATACCACCGAAACCAAGTTATATACAATCAATTAATAACCAATCAAGAATAATTAATCAATCTAGAGAAAAGAACAATACTACTACTACTACTGCTACTACTACTATGACTACTACAACTACTAATGATAATAATGTTAATGATGCTGAAGAGGAAATAATTTCAAGTAGAACATTTTCACGAAGGTTAGCACCTTTGTATAGATCATATTATAAAATTTCATTAGTTCCATCACATGTTAAAACTTCTTAGGAATTGTTTAAATAAGTCAATTTCTTTTGTTTCTTTCTCCTTTTTATTTGTTTATCCAAAATGTGATTATTGATAGAGATGATGGATATTTCAATTGTTACGTAATAACTATATCAAAGATATTGTTTCCATGTAATAGGTGATGGTTTAATTTCATTTAAGTTAATGAATGTTTGTTTATGTTTTATAATAAAATGAAATACTATAGTCATCTTTGTCATAGATTTGAACTACATAATTATCATTTTAACTGTTTCATTATTAATTAATGAATATGAAATAAGATTTGTTTAAAGATAGTTGATAGATTTAATTAATTACTTACTTATACCTGTTACTCTTGATGGACCATAGACCACTGATCAGTATTCTCCAACTCACTCTGTCCTGGGCTTTCTTTTCCAGTACTATCTAATTTTTGTTCATTCTTCTCATGTCTGTCTGCATTTCACGATGTAATGTGTTCTTCGGTCTTCCTTTTTTTTTTCTTTGGATTCCATGTGAGGGATTGCCTTGTGACTCAGTTGGGATAAGTATTGAGATAAATATGTGATAACTCCAATTACTGTATCATAACAGCAGAAAAAGATATGGTTCGAAACGAATGTATAGTTGAGAGAATACTAGAACTGAAGATTTAAGAAAAAATAATGAATGAATACATCTGTGCTAATATGAACGACTCTGAGTTATGTCATGCAACGTCATAAACCAATGATTACGGTTATCACTGGAACCTGGGATCAAGTAGTTAACATCAATATGCTTAAATCAGCCCATTTATTGGTGGACAGTTTTGGTTTATCTGTCCCTATCAACTTAATTCTCGTGATTCTCATGTCTTCTATTGTCCTTCTGAATTTTTCATTGATGCAAATATGATCTATCCAGTTCTTTGTGGTATGACCGGGTGAGACCCATGTAGCTTTGTTTATGCATGTGTATGGGAATATTGTTGAATGAACATAGATTTTTAAATCTGTCATCATTCTCGTTCCTTTCTCTCAGTTCGTCCATGTTGTACCATGATATCTCCATATCCAGTGTTGTCTATTCCAACTTTGGTGTTTAGATCTCTCATTAGGATTGTATGGTCCTCTTCCGTGCACTTCACCAATGATTGATTGTAATCTCTCATAGAACTGACCTTTATCGTCGCCATTGCTATCATTGGTGGGTGCATAACATTAGATAACATTCATTGTGATTCCCTCCTTCTTTGTTTTGAAGGGTGCTTTGATGAAACTGTATCCATGAGATTCTTATCCTATAAGTGCTTTACGTGCTTCTTTGGACAGCATCAGAGCAACTCCTTGAGTGTGTGGGGCATTTTCCTCCTCGTGATCGGAGTATAGCAGCATCTGTCCCGAATATAAGTTGTATCTCCTAATTTGTGTAACAAGTTGACTGGTCCTTCCGGTATCCCACATTTTCTGGAAATTCTATGTACCTACTATAATGGTTGTTCTGGTTGTTAGAAGGTGTATCATCCACGTTATTTCCGAAGAATCTCGAATTTCATCATTAGGCATAATAATTCTTCAGAGAGATGATCTTTACACTCCTAGGACAGAGTTTAAGCGGGTTATTTTGTTCACTCTGGTTAGCGTGATTATAGCAAGGTTGTTTTCTATGGGACGGGGTTGTTTATTCCATACTCAACCCTCCTCCTTTATGTTGGGCTTGGGACCGGCAGTAACTCGAGAATAGCTGCCAGTGGATTATTAGTTATACTACTTATTATATAAAAGTAGGCGAAATTGTAAAGGTTTTTTCCAGTCCGTCGTTTGTATTAGTGGATGTTTTTTAGACAGATTATTCATATTGGAATACCAATTTTCATCATGAATAGAAATATTTGTATTGCATCGGAGAAAAGATTACTTTGATGTCCTAGGCAGTATAGGCATTTTCACTTCTGAGGAAGATACATTCATCATAATTTGACAGAGGTTACAGTTACTTTAAAACTCTCAGTATCGTCAGGGTATACTATTCCACTCAAGAGAACAGCTGATCTTTTTTTTGCATTGGCATGCACAAGTCATGAAGTAAACAGTAAAAAGTCCACCGAAAGAGGATATAATCTGTGAACAAATCTATTCTGTCGAACTAATTAAGTACTGTACAGTCAAAGTTTAAGAAAACTGAGTTTTTGAATAGCCCAGTTAGAATTCCAATGATAATAACTGAGGAGTAAGTGACGTGCAAACGTTTTTCCAATGACCAAGTTCTCAATAGTTAAAGAACTAGTAGTGTTACTGTTTTTCCAGATTTTCTCCTAAATATTCTGTTCAAAATTAAGGTGGAATATTATATTTTAGTGACCGGAGATCTGACTCCATAACAGAAGGCTGCGTGTTCAAATCATGTTGGGCTCACCAGATCCCGGGCAAAAAAATTCTGAAACCATTATATAAGTTTCATTATGTGAGTATAGCATCACATGGTGTTCGGATCTCTAAATGAATATGAATCGGATTTACATTTCTAAAGTGAAGAGAGAATAAATATCTACAAATATGAATGATGTGTACAGTCCAATTGTTTGTATTAACAAAATTCATATTTTTTCGGTAATAATGCATCAATGCACTACATATGTCACTTGCTTTATGTGTGAGCTGTAATACCGCCCTGGTGCCTAGATCGAAGTTGGTGGTTATGTTAGGAGGCCATACCCGGAGCTTTCGACCTAAATATCTGATCCACAAAGCAGTGGAGCAACGTCAGGAGATACAGTCTCATGGTAGCCAACAAGTCTAAAAAGAGGATTTTAATAAACATCAAAAGCATTTCCTATTTTTTAAATGTAATTAACATGATAAAGAGCATTAAAACTAGCAGAGAGAGGTTCCTAGAGTTGTGATTTATCAGTTTAATCTACTATTTGAACAGAATTTTAGTCCCAACAATTCAAATCATATTAATAGTTATTAAATAGTTGAAATGTCAATCTAATATTTAGATTAAAATGTTCTCATTAAAAGACTTTAAATGAATCAATATAATTCCTGGTGAGCGGCTTATACTCCTCCAGGAGGGCTAACAGGCTAAAGTAACTAATTCAATAATATTAAACAATATGAATCACTTAAATCGATTAATCTTAATTAGTAATATGAATAAAATTATGAGCAACAAGTACAATCCTTTTTTGCTTTTTAGCTTGGATAACACCCTGATTAGTTTAATATTATAATATTATAACAATACTGATTGAGTTTATTCTTTAAATAACTTCACTGTTAGTTAATTAATTAATAACTGATTGCTGATTTTCTACACTTAATCAATGTATTTTAAATGTAAACGCTTTATGGTTATAAAGATGGATAGTGGCTAACAGTGGAATCCAGTTTGACGCGCGTCTCGTCCTATTTGGCAATTTTTCAGCTGAATCTACCTGCATCTCAAAGTTGATGTTCGCTATACGACTTGAACTCAATATCGTTCGCTTCAAACTCCATCGCGTTATTCACTTATCTACTGAGTCCTGATAACCATCTGCTTGCGCAATGGGTTAAAGTTTAAATTCACTTGATGGTGTTTGAAGCTAACGATACTGGGTTGAAGTCCCGTAGTGAGAATCAAATTTGCGATGCAGGTACATCCAGCGGACGAGTCCCAAATAGGACGAAACGTGCGTCAAATTGGTTTTCACTGTTAGCCACTATTCATATTTGCTTAAAAAGCTTGTGACTTAAAGCTATATTGAGGCAATCCGCACAGGATGCACATATGCTAACACGAGACTGATTAATTGCAGTCCTATATAACAACGGGTTGATAAACGTAAAACACCACTAAGTCAGCTTAATGGTTGTATTTCAATAACATACTTCATAGATATTCGTTATAATAATAATAACATTAATGATTGTAACAGTACAGAGGTTGAATATGTGTGACAAGCATAAAGAATAGAACTGTTTCCCTGAAATTTACATTTTTCGGGAATATGAATATTCCTAAATATATTAGATAGTTAACATATCTGAAAGAATATTGAAGCCTGGATTAGTGATATCCATCACTAGGGAATCGATTATCATTTATATTATCTTGTTGATGAAAATATTATCTAAGAGATTAATTAATCAAAAATTCAAAGTTGTTAAATGATGTAATAGACACAGATAGTGTGAAATTGGTCTAAATTTATTGGCACTAATCATTAATCTAAACATATATATATATATATATATATATATATATATATATATATATATATATATATATGGGTTGGTCATTGAATACTGATCAGTTTGAGGGTGCATGCTACTGATGTCGACAGATATCAGTAGTATGTATCCATAATCGAAAGTGAAATGCTTGATGGTAGAAGGTTAAGAAGATCAAAGAAAAGAGAACAAGAACAGAAAATGATTGGTGTAGAAACGAGAGAACAATGAAGTCTGAGATGATTGATTGGTATTTTGCAAATGAATTATTTACTGTACGGTTCTTAGATTTTACTATGATGTTCTGTAAGTTTGTATTCAAATACATTCAATTGTTCCCATTTGTGTTCTCATTCACTACAACATCATGTAGAATAATCTACAAACGTGTACATAATGTGTTATCCGACCTAGTGGTTATCTAAACTTAGTGGATAACGAATTGAACTTTTGAGGCTAATAATAGTTGAATCAAGACTGTATGTGAACATCAACAGTAGGATAAATTTGTGTTCAGCTGACGAGACTTAAATAGAATGAAACGCTACTCATTGATTCCAACACTAGCAAATATATCTCCTAGTTATCACTGATAAATAAAGCTAAGAGTAAAAAAAATCCACATCATGATGTAGTAAATCATTTCATGATTTTGTATTCAATTTTTCTATTTTTTTGATAGAAATTTATGTGAGAAACTCTTGCTCACTGTAGTCATCTGCGTAGATACTGATTTTTGACCATCTACT